TTATGTTTATTCAAGTTCTTATAATTCTTATTTGAACTATTTTATTGGTTTTCTTGCTTCCAGTCTTTACTTTCTCCCAGTTGACTACTCCTTTATGTTCCTAAAGGATTTGTCTGAATTGTAAAGCTGATCCTGTTATTACCCTGCTTATATTCTTTCATCATTTCTCCCATTTCTTATTAGCTAACATCACAACTACTGTATGTGGCATCTTTAATTTTATCTCTTTTTAATCCTTTATAGCCTATGCTTTAAATATATAAAATTATGTATTATTGCGTGGATAGAGAAGGTTTTTTTTACCCATGGTCCTTTCTCATGTTATTTGCTGATTCTGGAATGGTTACTTTTTCCATTTATCTCTATTTGGAAAAATCATATTTATCTTTCAAGAGCACTGTTTAGTATCTGTTCCTTTGTCAAGCCTTCCTTGAAACTTTTCCAAGCAGATCTGATTTATTTCTCCTTTGTCCAATTATTGTCCTCTATATTGTTTTTATCATTATACTAATTGCACTGAATTATAGCCACTTAATTTGCCTATCTGCTTCTTGTAATTGTATGATGTGAGATTCATGAGTTAGGGACTCCATGGCATAATGTCTTATAACAAGTAGACATTCAACATGTTTTTGAAAGTAGAAATATGGAGAGAAGCCTCCTTGAGATGGGAAATGAGAGAAGACTTTTCTAAAAGAAGAAAAATTTTAATTGGAGTTTGTAGGAAAGGTTGGCTTTGGGCAGGGGAGATTATACGGTAGAGAAATGGTATAAGTAAGGATACAGAAATAGGAATTTTATCTAGTGTATTATAAAGTAGAGTCTCATCTAAGTGGAAGAGTCATGTTAGAAAGTACTAGGTAAGAACATTGGAAAATTAGATTCACCTTCTGTTATGATTGAATCTGTGCAATAGATTATGAAGTTTGGACTTGCACTTGTTTAAAATTTTCCCCTAATTTCTCTCATGCCTCATTGACACAATAAACAATGTGATTTAAGAAGAGCCTGGCAGCATCAAGGAGATTGTAGTGGGAAGGTGATGGGTTACCTTTTAGGTATGTTGGAAATAAGGTGATGGTAGAACACACAGTAGTAAAAGGAAACTGGAGATGTGCTGCTACATTTCAGGAGGGTGGAAAAAATGGTAAGAGAGAAAAAGGGTTAAGGGATAAACTTTGCTCAATTTCTCTGTATTAGGAAATCATAGGAGAATATATGTAAGGGAATCAGACCTCCGTCAGCTGCTTCTTTATAAAATTGTTTTTGGAGGGATAGAATAATTGATCCTGATTAATAAAAAAGATTGGTGTGTTAGAAAAGAGTACAGAAGGGCTTTTACTGGATTTTTTTGTGGACTTTAATGTCACATTTTCATTTCAATATTATTATATATATATTATTTATTTATTTTTTATTGTTGGGGATTCTTTGAGGGTACAAAGAACCTGGTTACATTGATTGCATTTGTTAGGTAAAGTCCCTCTTATAATTGTGTCCCGACCCCAAAAGGTATGTTACACACTGTGATACCTCACTCCCTTCCCTCTGCTCCCCATCCCTCACCCCCCACCATGTACTAGGTCATTAATTGTCCTCATATCAGAATTGAGTACATAGGCATAGGATTCTTGCTTCTCCATTTTTGTGATGCTTTACTAAGAAGAATGTGTTCCACTTCCATCCAGGTTAATACAAAACATGTAAAGTCTCCATTTTTTAAAATGGCTGAGTAGTATTTCATGATATACATATAGCACAGATGTTAATCTATTCCTGGGTTGGTGGACATTTCCACATTTTGGCAATGGTAAATCCAGCTGTGATAAACAGTCTAGTGCAAGTGTCCTTATAGTAAAAGTATTCTTTTTCTTCTTGGTTAGATACTCAGTAATGGGATTGCAGGATCGAATGAGAGGTCTAGTTTGAGTTCTTTGAGGGTTCTCCATACTTCTTCCAAAAAGGTTGTATTGATTTGCAGTCCCACATACAGTGTAAAAGTGTTCCCTTCTCTCCATATCCATGCCAGCATCTGCAGTTTTGAGATTTTGTCATGTGGGCCATTCTCACTGGGGTTAGATGATATTTCAGGATGGTTTTGATTTGCTTTTCTCTAATAATTAGGGGTGATGAACATTTTTTCATATTAGTTAGCCATTTGTCTGTGTTCTTTAGAGAAGGTTCTATTCATTTCTCTTGCCCAGTGATATAGGGGATTGTTGGCTCTTTTTATGTTGATTAATTTGTAGATTCTAGTTATCAAGCTTTTAAAAATGTGGAATGCTTCACAAATTTGCATGTCATCCTTGCTCAGGGGCCATGCTAATCTTCTCTGTACCATTTGAATTTTAGTACATGGGCTGCTGAACTGAGCACTATTACATGTATTCATATATTTATATTTAGTCTTCATCATTTTTGCCAATTTTTTTTTTTTTTTGAGACAGAGTTTTATTTTGTTGCTCTCAGTAGAGTGAGATGGTGTCAGAGCTCACAGCAACCTTCAACTCTTGGGCTTAGGCAATTCTCTTGCCTCAGCCTCCTAAGTACCTAGGACTACACATGCCTGACACAATGCCTGGCTATTTTTTGTTGCAGTTGTAACTGCTGTTTTAGCTGGCTGGGGCTGGGTTCAAACTCACTACCCTTGGTATATGGTGCCAGCGCCCTACCCACTGAGCACAGGCGCCACCCCACTTTTGCCAATCTTACAACATACATTGTGAATAGATAGTGATTTTTACTTGCATCTGTGGTTGTATATGTGCTGCCGAAGCGAGCACAGCATCTGTGATTGTAATATCTGTCCTGATTACTCCTTTACAGACTGGAGAAGCTTTAGTAATTAATTCTAACAGAGACCCAGGTTCAGATAGAGCATGAGAATACAACTTGAGGCTTCTTTGATTTCTAACATAGAATTTACTATCTCAATTTGCTGATTTGGTCCAAACCACTTTGCATTCCTTCAAATTGATAGGAAAACCATCAGCTAAAAAGAACAAATAATAGAACATCTAAAATTATTTCTATAGGATACTTTTCAAATTTGTATTATTTCATATTTGAATGACAGTACTTATAAGTGGCTCCTCTTAATGGCTTTTGATACATTAACATGCTTTGTTGATTGTGAAAAAAATAATTAGCTTGAGATTCAATCAAATAGGACTCATTTATGAAAAATTTTGGTTTTGCTTTACTGATAGGATAGAGTTGGGGAGCAAGTAATCCCTCTCTAGTTGAAGGCTTGCTTTTTTTTAAAAAAATGAAAGCTTTAGAGGTAGTTCTTCCTTCCTTTGGGCCTCCCCAGAGTCCTTAATCCCTTTTTGTGGGTTTTGCATTGGAATTAAGTGGGGAAGAACATTTTACTTTTGTGAAAAATTCAAAGGATGTTCTATATCTTAGTTAATTAAACTTTTGGAAGATATGTCTTAGGTATAAACCTTAATTAAATGTTTTGGATACCTTCTTACTCTCAGTTTGTTACCCATGCCATGTATTTTATGTAAATCTAACTAAAATATCAATAGGTAATATGTAGAGAAACAAGTTTGTCCATTGATTCAAATCTCTGGAATGTAGATTCTTTTCATTTTCCTGGCAGAAACTAGTTCACATAGTTCAAGTTATTTTCTGTCCTCTTATGTTTCATTTGACCAGTGCCTAGACTAACTTCTTATACTTCATATGTGTGTATTTCCTAAGTCTCATTCAGAATCTTTAGAGATGCTAATGTTTCTCCTGAACTAATTTCTATTTGTCACTAAGAGAAATATCATATATTGAATTAAAGGGTTTGTATTTTAAGAGGTCACTTTCTCAAGCCTTGTATCTTGGGATAATACAAAGTTATTACATTGAAAAAAAGAGAAAAAAGAAAGTTCCATTTGGAAATATTTTGGGAACATGCTAGATTAAACCATTTAAACCTATTTCTTTAAACTGAACTTCTCCCAGCTTTTATCCTGTTAATGTACACTGTATATAAGGAGACTACACAGCATGAAGTATTTACCATTGATTTAACCAAAGAATCCTTTTTTGTGGAACATTTTTGTCATGCTTTAAGGGACTATTGGTATAATGGAAAAATCACTGACCTGGAATTTGGAAGATCACATGTTGAACTTCTGATTTACCACTTGCTAGCTTCATGATCTTGAAATAATCCTTTGTCTTCAAGCCTCAGTTTCCTGTTTTGTGACTAAGGTCACTTCCACCTCTAATACTGGGTGATTTAATGCTTCTGTTATTGACTCTAGATTGTCACACTTTGCCACATTTTCTACTTCTTTGTATCTATTAAAACTATATTATCATTTCAGTCTCTTTTTTTTTTAAATTGAGGGGATTATACTATTAACACCTTTTCTATAAAAGTTCAGAAGAATTAAACCTTTCAAACTCTGTTGTCCATGTATTACGGTAATGGAATAGATAGATTAGTTAGTTCAAGTCACTTTCTAAAGATAATTCATTCTCCTTACTACATTTTATTGGTCTCTTACATCTGTATAACTGTTATTAAGAGTCTCCTAAGTTTAAATATATCAAAATTAATCTCAAGCTTCCACCCCTTCTCTCCCAACCATTATGGTTTCAGTATGGCTTTTTCTTGTAAGAGATAAGTACCCTGTAATAGGCATTATACTAATCTCTTGACTATATAAGCAGATATGTGTAGATTTCATTTTATGATGATTTAGTGGATGTATTTGAAAAGTCTTATGATAATATTAACTGATTATCTTTTCTCTGTGTTAACTTGGAAAATGAGTTAAGATAGGATAACTTTAGGATTAAAAATGTACATATTAATATATTTGGTTGTATTTTGACACTCAAACTTTATGTACTAAGTCTTTTTGTTGTAGTATTTTCTTTAAGATACCAACTTGTTCAAAATTAGAAATTTATTGACAAATTAATTTTTTTTCTTTTTTTCTTTCCTCTTTTGTTTTTGTTTTTGCTGTGTTTGTGTGTTTTTCTCTATCTAGGCCCAACAGCAAAGAAACCTGGATAACATCGTCTTGCAACAACCCAGAATAGGTAGCAAGAGGAAGTTAAAGAAAGATATATATATAATCTTTGATACAGAGATAGAAAGCACTAGCCCCAAGTCTGAACAGGATTCAGGAATTCTGGATGTTGAAGATGAGGAAGATGATGAAGAGGTAACTAACATTTGATTTGGGGAAGTAAGACTATTTTTAAGCTTAAACGTGGGCAAGTTGAGATGTAATGAAGAGTTTATCCATGTAATATAGTTTGTGTGATCTTCCAGATGTTAAATGCCATTTTGAGTAGGCCCCAATTTAAGGAAGCTGAAGAGACACTAAGATAATTTAGATCATGATTCTTTTAAAGAATTTAAATTTTAAATGCATTCTTTCAATTTTGAAAAGATTTAGGGCTTTTTGATTCTGTATTGACTGGGCACTACATTACAGGATGAGCACAATTTACCTGACCTATAGAGACAAGAGGACTAGGTGACTCTGCTGAAAAGATGAGCACAATTTACCTGACCTATAGAGTCAAGAGGACTAGGTGACTCTGATGAAACTATTACTAAAATAGAGTTATTATATGTGAGACAAATATTTACTTCAAAAGGGTAAGAGTGAACAAGTAGATTTATTTATTGAGAAATGATTCAGGGTGAAAATACAAAAAGATTCTAGAAAGTTGGGAATACATTTCTGGAAGAAGTAAATGCATGAATGATTATGTGGTATCTAGGAATTTTGTGACATATCTATAACCTCTTAGGTGAGTTCTGTGTCACTGTTAGGGAAGAATAGATTAAGTGGCTTAAGTAGTACATATTTTTATATTCTTCTTTGTTGTTGGAAGTATGTGCAATGTATTTTTAAAGACTGTTGTGGCATTTGAGATTCCTATTCAAATTTTTTTTTGTAAATATTATCAAAGTATTTACAAAAACTGGTTCAGTTTCTTTGTAAGGGTAGTATCAAGGAGCATGAGCCTTAGAGTTAGACTATAATCCAGTCCTGGTTTTGCTATTTTCTTTTTAAAAATTATTAACAATCATATCATATATTTTTAAAATGACTGCTGATACATGTGAGAAAGTATTTACTTCTAACGTTTTTGCCTTTGAGTGCTTATCTAATTTTGTTTCATTTTTTCATACAAAACTGGGTTTACTATTTCTTCCTTATCCTCGTCTCCTATTATACCCATACTATCCTATTATACCCTTTCTCTCCAAAAACTATGAGCAAAACCTTGTTATTGTCTAACTTTGTAACCTTAAGTAACTTTAATTTGTTGGAACTTTAATCTTCGTCTATAAAGTCTACTCCATGTAGGATTATACAAGTGTATGCCCCATAAAAGGTGGTCAACAAACATTAGTTTCACTACTCTCCCTTTCTAACTTATGTTATTTATTACCACAGTCAGTATGCTTGTACCTATTATTATTCTTTTTTTACTTCAAAAATTGATTTGACATTGTTTAAACTGTTTGAGCTGAAAAGCAAGTGAACAAATTAGTTACTCATCTAAAAAAATTAGAAGTTAAGATTGATTGTCTGAAGGACTATCATATATGTAAAATACTACCTTCTTTTACATAGTTTTCATTATTGAGGAGGAACATTTATGCCTTTTGTTGGATTTATCATTTTTAGTTAAAATTTATACTTTATGAGGTTATGTAAATGAAGTATATTAATAGTTAATGCTTAAAAAGTTCATCCTAATCTCTGTTGTACTTAGATTGCAAGAACTCCTACTAGCTCCTAATAGAGCTAAAAAAAAGTCTTTTGAGTATTATTCTAGAAATCAGATTGTCAGATATTATGTTCATCATCAATAACTATCACAGTAGTAGTACAATAAAGCATTAGTCTCAAGAAAGACTAGTTAATTCCCTTAATGTACATTTCTCATCCAGAAAGTGAAATTCTGTGAGACGCTATGGCTTATAAAAACAGATTAGACATAGTTCCTGACATTGTATAACCTGAAAAGATGGTTAATTGTTAAGATAATAAATGAAATAAATACAAAGTTCTTATATACCCTTGAGAACCTTCTGAATAGAAACCATTCTTTATCATTAGTTCACTGAAGATCCTAGATAAGTTCCTTTTAATTTTTATTCCATGTTTCTTCTTTGCTTTGTTCTATGAGGTCCAGAGAGGATAAAGAAATACTAGTAAAATTTGTTGGGGAATTCCTCATAAAGGCAGTACTATAAGAATGTACTTGAAAGTTAATATTTTAATATTTTGGGGTTTCATATCCCAAATCAAACAGAATTCATATTAAAGATTTGCTGATTAAGCTCTTAGAACAAGAATTCAGCACTTCACTGTCATCTAATGGCATCCTAGCTTAAAAAAATCCTACCTTATATTTATTTACTTCTCAGTTTGAATCTTCTTCAAGTGCACATTCTTAATCTCAAACCTCATGTAGAGAATTATTTATTTAGATGTTTCCAAACTGGTTTCTTGGCATAGTTCTTGCATGGTGTGAATAAATTCTTCAGATAAGGTCTTTCATGACCCACTGTGACGTTCTGACCTTCATTCTTGTCATTCTTCAGCAGACCCCATTGAGAACAGCATAGTTTTTGGAATATTGTGACTTTTAATCTGTGAGCATGATAACTGTGGCATAGAATCCTATAGGGCAGTGAGTTCTTAATCTATTTGGTGTCATGTATTACTTTGAGAGTTTGGTGAAATGATATGGAATGATTTCCCAGGGAAAGGTATATATATTCACTCAAAAACAGTTCTGCTTGAAATTTCAAGAGGTTCACAAAATTCATTTTACTCGTAGGACCCAAGTTAAGAACCATGTTGTAAAGTAGTGCTTCTTGAACTTTACTGTGTATAGAAATCACTTGAGAATAGTATTAAAATGCAGATTGTGATTCTGCAGGTTGGGCATGAGTCTGAGAGTCTGCATTTTTTTTTTTTTTTTTTTTGAGACAGAGCCTCAAGCTTTCCCCCTGGGTAGAGTGCCATGGCATTACAGCTCACAGCAACCTCCAACTCCTGGGCTCAAGCGAGTCTCTTGCCTCCGCCTCCCAAGTAGCTGGGACCACAGGCGCCCGCCACAACGCCCGGCTATTTTTTGGTTGCAGCCGTCATTGTTGTTTGGCGGGTCCGGGCTGGGGATCCGAACCCGCCACCTTAGGTGTACGTGGCTGGCGCCTTAGCCGGTTGAGCTATAGGCGCCAAGCCGAGAGTCTGCATTTTTAACAACATTCCAGGTGAGGATGATGCTTTTGGTCCCTGGAACACATTTTGAGTTGCAAGGCTATAGTGGACCATGAGGAAGCTTTTTTAGTATATAAATAAAACAAACCCATAATTATTTAGATCTTCTATGGATTTTCCATTATTATAATTTAAAACTTTTCTGGTAATTAATGCAATACTTGAAGAAAAAGTTATGTTTAGCTTTCTAAAATCTGTTGCTTATTATACATTACCAACATTTTAAAATGAAATTTTATAATTCTGATTTATCACGTTTAGATATTTATTCTGTGAAATAAAAACTTTTTACCTTGTGCTTTTAATGGTAATATATTTAATATGTTCTTTAAGTTGAATGGCATTTTTAGGCTATTTCTTATAATTATTGTATCTTTAGCTTAATGGCACTTAATAGGACATTGTGGAATGAGGTGAGTAGGAAAACCCAAATATCTAGAACATAGCTTTTCACATAGTAAGAAGATTATTAATATATTATTAAACCAAAATAAAATTTGTACTAGAGATGGGAAAAATTTAACAGCCTGAGGAAGATGAAGTCTCAATAGTAAATTGCGATCTTGGGTGAAAAACTACCTCTCCATGTTGAATGAACTGAAGGAGTCAGTCTTTTTTTGTTATTCTATCCCTCAACTCCTGACCCCCAGGTTTATTGAAGAGTGTTTCAAAGAAAAGTATTCCCTAGTAAAATTCTGTCTTTATTTTAATATTATTTTTGGCTGAGCTAATGAAAAGGTCATAATTAAAATACGTTTTTAAACTAATCATATATGAAAATTGAACTATATAAAACTATCAATACTTAATCAGTTTTGACCACCTTAATTAATTTGATTTTCAGTGGAAATATATATGATTGAGGGAATTTGCTTTGTATCATCCCATGATATACACAGATATTAATGTTCTCTAAATGTATACATAGGACTTTAAAAATACTCTAGAAATAGTGAACATTTTAAATTGAAAATGAATTTATGGCCCTAGAGTCATCAGGAATATCAGTTTTGAGTTGTTTGAAGATAAAATCCAAAGAAGCCCTTAAGACAGTGGTTCTCAACCTTCCTAAAGCCGCGACCGTTTGATACAGTTCCTCATGTTCTGGTGACCCCCAACCATAAAATTATTTTTATTGCTACTTAATAACTGTAATTTTGCTACTGTTATGAATCATAATGTAAATATCTGATGTGCAGGAGACCCCCAAAGGGGTCGAGACCCACAGGTTGAGAACTGCTGCCTTAAGATGATAGGTTAATATTTGTGAGGAGAACAACCACATCATCCACACCACCCATCATAGAGTATGAGTCAAATTAATGTTTGTTGACCAAATTATTCATGTCAAATTTAGCTGTTCAGATTTTGGTGCCTCTATTGAAATATAGAATTAACAAGAAGAAATTGCTAATTTAAATACAAATGCCACATAACATAAAGCCTCCTGAAATGTCTTGATGATTATGGTACTGTACTAGTTTTGAAGTAACATGATGTGTTAATTTGTTAGGACTTCCAAAAAAAATACTGCAGACTGGGTGGCTTAAACATCAAAAATTAATTTTCTTGCAATTCTAGAGGCTGAAAATTCAAGATCAAGGTTCTGGCAGGGTTGGGTTCTCCTAAGCCAGGGATCCTCAAACTTTTTAAACAGGGGGCCAGTTTACTGTCCCTCAGACCATTGGAGGGCCGGACTGTGGGCTGTGGGACAAGTGTGCTGCTAAGCAGGACAGGCAGTGGTGGCAAAAACACCCATTGGGCCGGATAAATGTTCTAGGCGGGCCGTAGTTTGAGAACGCCTGACCTAAAGCATCTCTCCTAGCTGTGTCTTCACATGCTTTTTCTCTTTGCTCACACATACCTGGTGTCTCTTCGTCCTTTTTGAGGACGTCCTTTTTGCCTCTTCC